TGTACAACTGACTAAATGTGAAATAAATAAAACAGAAATACTATTAAAAGTAAAAGTAAGAGAGTTTTACTCACTGTTGAGTTGTGGTGAGTAGCTGACATTTTGAATTCTCATCGGGGAGCCGGACAGAAGTCACCCACGGGCCACGTTTGGCCAGCGGGCCTTGAGTTTGACCCGTATTCTTGCTTGTAGCTGCAGTGAAGGTCGTGTCATTGCAGCGACTGTGCTGCGATTGTAGGTGTGTGGAAATATCACCTGTCAAAGTTAGGGCACTGGAGACTATCTCTAGAAGAAAATGGCAGAGGGAACATACTGTATGTGAACTGAAAGGGTAACAACATCATGATTGTCTTCACACTTAATGAGGTTTTCTGAATTTGCTGTGATCCAGCCACCTTTTCATAGAGAGGAGAAGGGTTTTGTCATCCAGTATCAGGTGGAACCTCTGTGGTACATTGCCGTTTTATAATTTCTTACCAGACTGAAACCCTGTTCAAGATGAAGAGAATATTTAATATCTGATGAGGCTGGGCTTAAAAAACTCTTTATATTGTTTAAAAAGGTCAGTCTTTGACAGAAAAAAACATTAAAAGATAATAAAAGCCCCACTGTTTCAGTATTTTCTGGTCATGTTACCAAAATGGCACAAGTAGTTTGTTTATATGTGTTTATCTTTTATTTGCTTTAATTGCCTTTGACATTACTCAACCTTTTAGTTTTGCCGGTGAGACCATTTAGTTCTGCTTTGGAGGTCACGGTTTAATTCTCTTCTCTTTATTTGAGAGTCCTGCGACAGACATTTGGTTTATTAAAGCAATAAATAAAAACATAAGAAGAAGAACAGGAATGTTTTGGAATACTCCATCCTTAAACTACATATAAAAAAGGTTGTGGAAGGACCTGGAGAGAGAAGAAAATAACATCAAAAGGAGATTTATTAAGTTTATGCCAAATTTTCTGTTCATTAAAGTCACCTTGTTCTTCTGAAAGAACATTTTTTGTCTGTCAAACTTTGTGATTCAACTAAAGTAATAAGTTGTCTCTCTGTGACAGGTTAGTGGAAACAAAGAGCCCAAAAACATGTTATGTYTCATCACAAAATAGTTCTTTCCTTGAGTTTTGCAGCCCTTCAGTGCCTGAAGTGGCCTAACTAACAAAACAAAAAGAAAACTTTCTTTTAAAATGATTCAAGTTCTGTCATTAAAAATAGTCAAATCATCCAGATGATTCCATCCAATTTGGAACTTCAGGAGACATTCAAACACTTTAAAGAACTCACAAAACACTTGAATAAAGAAAAGAATCTGCCTTRGTTAAAAAAAGATTTCAAAAAATTGATGGTTTTTGTATTCATGTGGAGTCCATTCCATTCCAGCTTTGTTCACAYTTGACCAAAGTGCTGTACACAATAACCAGAAATAAAAATAAACCAACACTAAAACAAGCTGAGTTGAGAAAAAGTAAGTTTTAAGAGAAGTCTTAAAAACATGAAGAGACAGTTTGTCTGATATGCYATGGTAAACTATTCCACAGTTTTGGGYCAGCYACTGAGAATGAGCYGTRACTTCTCATTGTCCTCTTTGTTTTAAGGACGTCTATCAACAACTGACCTGCTGACCTAACAAACAGAGAGGGAACATAAAGCTGAATCAGATACAGTGGGGAAAGGCCATGCAGACATTTGAAGACAAACAAAAGATTTTTAAAATCTATRCTAAAACTGGAAGCCAGTGAAGAGAAGTTAAAACAGGAGGAATATGCTCCTAGCAGTGGTTAAAAGCTGAGCAGCAGCATTTAAAACCAGCTGGAGTCTAGAGAGTGACCTGTGACTGAGAACATAAAGGACATTACAGTAATCTAAACCAATTAAAGCATGAATTAACATTTCAAAGTGATGCAAATAATGGTGCGTTCACACCAAACGCGATTTCAGCGTCAGGAGCCTCAGGTTTACATGCAAAGTCTATGGTGGACGCGCTTCAAGCAGCGTCAGGAAGTTCTGCGGCACCTCAAGCGCGGTTAGAGCAGCGCGATTTGAACGATTTGAATGATCTGAGCGTTCGACGCGCTGAGGCGCAAATCGCTGAAGTTAGAAAATCTGAACTTTTGCAGCTCGACGCGCCGCGTCAACCAATCAGAGAGACTCCACTGTGTGACGTAGTGACATATTTCCCGACGGGACAGTTTACTGAATGATGTCCACTAACCTGAAACAGACGGAGCTCCTGCTCTTTAGCTGAAATCGTGCCTGTAGTCGGTGTCCTGATCCGCAACAATGCGTGGCAGCGACTCATCAGACTGGAAAAATAGTCCTGAAAGCGAGCTGTGAGCCTCTACTCTGAATTATCTGGTGAATTAATTATGAATTAATTATCTGATGAACGTGACATGCTCTCACTCTCTGTAAATAAAGCAAAGCAGTTCCTCATCTAACATTAAACAGAGCCCGACAGAGGAGGGAGGGGCGGGGAGGCTCTTGCCGTGCAGCGCTTCAACAGCTGTCCTGCGTCTGACCTCAAAGTGCACAAGCTTCAAACTTCAGCGTTGGCTGCGATTTTGAAGCTGAAATCGCGTTCGGTGTGAACGCACCATGAAGAAAAGGTTTTACTTTGGCTAGTTGTCTCAGATTAAAAAAAGTTAGATTTGACAACAGAGGTAACCTGTGCATCAGATTTAGGGCTGAAATCCAGCTTTACGTCACAAGTGTCACACTGGTTTAGTGAGGCCAGGTCAACGTAAGGTTCAGAACGCTCACTAGGCCCACCCCTGTGWTTTTGTCATTAAAATGCAGAAAAATACCAGTTATCCAAGATTTAATTTCTGTAATGCACTTCACCAGATTGTTGGCAGAGTGATTTTGCTAGTTCAGTTGAACATAAATCTGGGTATCGTCAGCGTAAAAATGGAAAGTAATGCCACATTTTCTCAGAATGGAACATAAAGGAAGCAGGTAYAGTGAGAAAAGAAGAGGACCAAGAATAGATCCCTGAGGTACTCCACACATCAGTGGCACTGGAGACACAGACACAGGAACTTCAATTCAATTCAAAAACACTTTATTGATCTCAGAGTGAAATTAGGTGTTGTTGTAACTCATTTAACTAAAGAGAAAATCAACATCATGATTTTCATGAACATCAAGATTTTCTCTCTGTTAAATAGGATCAGAACCATTACAAACCTCTGCCCCATATTCCAACTCAGCTCTCCAAGGAGAATCTGATGGTCCACTGTATCAAAGGCAGCTGACAGGTTCAACAAAACCAAAACAGCACAGTGACCACAATCTGCTGCCAAGAARATATCATTTAAAACCCTTAAGAGTGCTGACTCTGTACTGCGACGATTCTTAAACCCAGACTGGAACACTTCAAGGATGCTGTTTTCATCTAAGAATGATTTCTGCTGAAAACAAACAATTGTCAATTTAATTTAAATGGAGTCATTTGCCTCCAGATTTCCTCAYAGTTGTACCACTTCTTCTTCCACTTTCAGAATTTGCATTAATTCTAAGAATTTTTAAGGTCAAGTTTTGCAAAAGTATTGAATACTCCACAGTTATGTTGGGGGGCACCATCTAACCATTGATTTTTATCTGACAGCAGTCAGAAAGTAAGAACTTCTGTCTTCATCCAAACAACACCACTCAGTGCCTGAAGGTCGCAGGTCCTTGTTTACAGGAAGCAGAAAATACATTTTAGCTGAAAAGCGTTCAGGCYTCGACAATCAGAAAAATCTGGGGAACTTTTCAAGGAAATTACTTTATTTCTATAACTCAGTCCTTTCTTTAAAAKCCAATGACAAACAGGAACGTTTCTTCTAATGAAAGAAAGATCTGTAGGCCTCTCAAGGTCTTATTTAGAGATGGTGCATTTTATTTTATTTACCGTTTGTCTCATAACAACAGCAAACAACACAGTGGTTGGTGGGAAATAACTATCTAACAAAGATAAAATATTCATGTTTTTTCCCATCTGCTTGCAGGAGGTGAAGTATTTTCAGTTTCCTGGAGAGCTGCTGATGAGGATGCTGAAGATGCTGATTTTGCCTCTCGTTGTATCCAGGTGAGAAACAAGGACACTAAACACATTTAATTGTTATAATTCCTGATGCTGAAGTGGACAGAGTTACACGGGTTTGTGTGTGAATGAACAAGTAATGAATCTGTTTGACTAAAAAAAGGAATGACTCATTTGTAAAGACCTGTTTCACGCTGAGATCCTGCTCTGCTCTCTGTGACCTGTAACAATGCAGCTGAGTGAGTCATGAAACAGTATGTGGCTCATAATACAGGGAAACATCTAAAATCACTGCTGTAAATGTTGACCAACACCTCAAGAGCTTCTCTGAGCTMGATGAGACATTTTCAAAATATAATATTGACTCAGTTTTATGTGTTTTAGTGTTACCTCTGGAAGCCATTGATTCTTTGCCATTTATTTGTAATAATAAATCAGATAACATGTTAAAGCAGTGATTCTCAACCCTGGACCTCAAGGACTCCTTTCCTGCATGTTTAGATGCTTCACTGATTTGACACACCTGGTTTGAATGAATGAGTGATTAACAATCTTCTGAAGACCTGCTGAAGAGCAGGGAAACAAGTAAAACAGGCTGGATCGGGGTCCTTGAGGACCAGGGTTGGGAACGACTGATGTACTATCCATCACAATTTAACACAGGGATGAGCAACTTAAACGATGGAAGCGACCACAATTTTTTTGTTGACACTACCAGGTGGCCACATAGCACTGCACATTTACACAAATATAATAAAACTGCAATTTTTTTTGAAAAGTTTAACTTGGACAGGAAGGTGCTGATCTCATCAAATTTGAACACCATACATGTGGAGGGATGTGTGGTGATTCAACTTGGACCAAACAGTCCTAACCCACCAGGATTTTTTTCAATATAAATATTTATAGTTGTATTCGGCATAACTCCCGACAGGAAAATGCTATTTGCATCAAATTTGAAGTCAATAAATTATGTTTACGTTTACAAAAGTTTATTTGAGACATTGTTCTGTTTTAAACTATAAATACACAGTCAATAAAT